ATCTCAGAGAGGCCCCCACATGCAGACTCAGAGCCCAGGTGTTCAGACGAGGCATTCTTGGGGACCAGGGAACACAGGTGAGGGCCTGCACACGAGGAGGCGAGGACCTTCCGAGCTCGCTCCTGGGGGCTTCCTCCAGCCTGCTGCCGAGAGCCCCCTTCCTTGCTGCCCCCTGAGTCCTGTCTGACCACCCTGTCTGGATGCTGCTCCTAGCTTGCTGGAAGCTGACACAGAGAACAGTTTGCTCTGTGTCGGGGTCTGGCGTGCCCCTAGTGAGCTGCCAGCCTGTAGCAGACCTCAGTGGGCCCCAGGGCCATCGCCTGCAGCCTGAGCAGTTAACCCCTAGTAGGGCTGATGTGGCTGAGGTTCCTCGGGCTGTGCACGCCTGCTCCCGAGGCCCCCCTCCCTGTCCGATCTGGAGTGGGGGGATTGGGGTGCCTACACGGATACACAGAGTCCGTGGTTGTGGTTGGAGGTGGGAATGCAGGAGCTAGAACTGAATTTGAATTTTGAAACGGCACGAGGAACCAAGTCCGTTCCTAGATTTCCAAGCCGGGGAAAAGAGAGGACGGGGGTGGGGGCATCAGGACCACCAGTGAGCCCAGGTTAGCCCAGCTGTAGCCCAGTCTGGGGTGTGGAGGCTGGATGGAGAATCCCAGGATACCACAGCTGAGGGGCTGCTGGGGTCCCACACTCAGGTCACCCCACGGGAGCCTCTCAACATGACCCCTGCTCACTGTCCCCCCGGCCTTAATCTCTCCGTATGCACCCCAAAGGGGCTGGATTTAAATGTCTCCCAGGACCCTTTTGGCCCTGAATTCTAGAAAGAGGACAGTGGAGGAGGGGCGGAGAGGTGCTTGTGGGAAGAGAGAGGCTTTAGCTGGTTGTGTCCATAAGCCTCAGTGTTCCCATCTTTTTCATGGGAATGATAGCCGTCCTCAGTGGGTTGGTATGAAAATCAGCTGGCGCCGCGGCTCAGTAGGCTAATCCTCTGCCTTGCGGCGCCGGCACACTGGGTTCTAGTCCCGGTTGGGGTGCCGGATTCTGTCCCGGTTGCCCCTCTTCCAGGCCAGCTCTCTGCTGTGGCCCGGGAGTGCAGTGGAGGATGGCCCAAGTGCTTGGGCCCTGCACCCCATGGGAGACCAGGAGAAGCACCTGGCTCCTGCCTTCGGATCAGCACGGTGCGTCGGCCGCAGCGCACCGGCCGCAGCGGCCATTGGAGGGTGAACCAACGGCAAAAGGAAGACCTTTCTCTCTGTCTGTCTCTCTCACTGTCCACTCTGCCTGTCAAAAAAAAAAAAAAGAAAGAAAGAAAAGAAAATCAATGAGCCATGTGTGTTGGTAGCATTGTGCCTGGCGCTAGTGGCCGCTTGTCACCTGGATTGTCACGTGATACTATTACCATTAGCAACCCCAATGGCCGATGGGAAGGTGGAGGCCAGGGCTCCCCTGGCCCTTCCCAGGCCACAGCTCACCCCGTTCCCCGCCCCTGCAGGAGCAGTGGACGTGGACGAGTGCTCGGAGGGCACAGATGACTGTCACATCGATGCCATCTGCCAGAACACACCCAAGTCCTACAAGTGCCTCTGCAAGCCCGGCTACAAGGGGGAAGGGAGGCAGTGTGAAGGTGAGTCCGGTCCCCGGCTCTCGGGCTGCTGCAGGCCAGGGCAGCCCGGCGCCATGCTCGCACGCTGGCTTCCCAGACCCGGGGCCGCCTCCCTCCAGTGTGGGCGTTGGACCCTCGCCTGGCTTTGAAATGGTGTGTGTGCTTTAAGGAAACGGAGGTGACACTTCGACGAGGTGTTTGTGCACCTGATCCTTCCCCCACCTCCACCATGTCCCTAACTTCAAGTCCAAAACCACCCTCTGTGGCCTGTGGCTTCCCCACAAGACCTGTTCCAGAGCCAACCATGGCACCGGCGAGGCCGGCTCAGGTCTCTGGTCAGCTCTAGAGCCTGGTGGGTTTATGCTGTCTGTCTTTCCTTCCCTACACCTGGGCTGCTGGTGTGGCCACCCAGCGTTAGAAACCGCCTCCCGGGCAGGCTGGGGGTCGAGGAGGGCAGCCCTGGCTGTGTTTGGGGCCAGGGCTCTCCATTCCAGGAGCTCCTTCGGGAACGTTCACGTGGGAGGTTCTCAGCAGTCCTCCTGACCCGGTGGATGTGGGCCAGGGCTCAGACGCAGCTTGGGGAGCCGGAAACCGCTCTCTCTGTGACTGACGCACAGTCCCCTGGGGAGGTCAGCATCTGAGTCTTGCCCACCTGCTCCCATTGTGTAGAGAGGAAAGCTGAGGTTCGGAGAGAGGAGTCGCGTCTTCTGGCAGGCCCCCTCGTTTTCCAGTGACACGGTGAGGGTCGACCCCAGGCCTTCTAATTCCCGCTCAGTGACTCCAGCTCCCCTCGTCCCCTCTCGCAGCCCTGCCAGCTTCTGTGAGATCTGTGTTGGAACAGGGCGGTGCCCACTCTGCGCGCGCAGGGCTCTCCAGGGCTGGAGTCTGCAGGAGGTGCACTCTGCCTGCCCCCGGGCTGAGCTGTGTCGCGCGTCTCCTGCAGGCCGAGTGCTGGGCAGTGACACAGTCCTGGGTCCTGCTTGCTTGGGGCTCGAGGCTGGTGTGTAGGGAAGCGGAAGCTGCCTGGGGGCAGACTGAGCAGGTCAGGGGCAAGCAGCCTGGTGGGACGGGCTGGGCAGGCTGCTTGCCCCTCTGGCCAGGTGGCACATCTGGGCCTCGTGACCACTTTCTGACCCGCTGCTCTGCCACCACACCCTGAGCCGTGGCCAGGGAGTGCTGTGGTCGACCTGCCCTCTGCTGCCTGGGTCCTGAATCCAGCTGTTCCCGCGCTGGCCAGCCCCTCAGGTCCTCTGCTGCTGTCCCCTGCACAGGAGGCCCACGCTTGGTCTCCTTGCTTCCCTGAGGCCCTTCAGAGTCCAGCAGGAGCCTCCTGCTCAGCACGGGTCCTGGACTGGCGGGGGGGGGGGAAGCTGGTGATGCACTGCAGGGGGCCAGCACCCGCCCCCCCCCCCCAACCACCGCTCTTCCCCCTGAACGCCCATCCCCTGCGTCCTGGAAAAATCCAGCGGTGAATTCTTTAGACGTGCCCTGCCTCATAATCCACATGCGCACATGCGTGCACAGGTACATGCATGCAGACATGTGTGCCCTGCTGACATGCACACACTGGTACATACATGCACACATGTACACACATGGAAACACGCACACTGCACAAAGCGCCGGCTCTGCTCCTGCAGCCCTGGGCACCAGTGCTGTCATTGCATCTTTGCTCCCGGCTGCACTGTGTTCTGGAGGGTCTGCCCCGGGCGGGCGTCAGACCTGCTACGGCAAAGCTGGTGAACTTGGGCCGTGCCCAGGGAGCTTACGGGGAGCCCCTCAGTCACTGAGCCCCTCACATCTGTCGTGACACCCCCAGCTCCCGGGACAGGGCCTGGTGGCGGCAGCAGTGTGCTGACGATGTGGACAGCTGTGAGCGATGCAGGGAGGGCACTGGGTCGTGGGCGGGCTCGTGCTTGCCCTGGGGTGAGACAGGAGAGCAGCCCTGGTCTCTGCCTGGGGGCAGCCCATCGCTGAGGTGACTGTTTGAGCCTCAGTTTCCCTTTTGGGTATATGAGCCGCCAGTTTTCCTCAGCACAGCTCTCTTGGAGAGTGCATGCAGGGGCACCGGGAAGCTGCCTGCCTTGGTGCCTGGCCCAGGACACAGTGGGCACTCACCGCGCAGTGTGTGCCTAACAGCCGATGGCGGTGCCGACGTCATCGCCATCGTTCGGAGTGGTTTCAGATGAGACTACAGGCGGCCCTGGCCTTGGCCAGTGGCTGGGGCTAACCTCAGAGGTGATGGCCGCGGTGCAGCCGGCCCCGCCCTCCGGGAGCTTGTTGCCGCGGCTACAGCAGGAGAGGTGTAGGAGACTCCGTACCTGTGAGTTACCACGTCAGAGCAGCTCTCAGGAACCGGGAGCGTGACGCCGTTGCTTGGTCACTTGCTCCTGAACTCCCCCGTGAGCGAGAGCTGGCGTGCGTTCTGGGGCCCACGGGGACCCTCTCCCCTTGCACTTGAGTGTCCACGTCCCTGGGGACCAGGAGTGTTCACCCAACAGCCACGAGACCCCCTCTGCCTCCGCAGGACCGCGCTGCAGAGACCCCCGGGGGATTTGGGATCTGCAGCGGCCAGCAAGCCGCGTGCAGCGGTGGCCAGAGGGACATGAGGCCGCCCGGTGTTCAGCTGCTTGCTTTACAGCCGCAGAAAGGAGCCCGGGGGTGCGGGCGCCTGCCCGGGTTTGGGCGGGAGGCCGGGTCTGGTGTGAGGCCGGTCCTGCGGGTGGCCTTTGCGTCGTCCCTTCCGTCCTGAGAAGAGGGACCGGAGGGTCCACGTCCCATTGAGCGTAGCGACTGAGGCCTGGGCCTTGGCGCCTGAGTGCTGTATCCAGGGCAGCTTGCGTAGCCTGCATTTCCCTAGGAAGTGGACATGTTGCTGACGCGTCCTTGTAGAGAGAGCGTGGGAGCTAAGTGAGCTCACGTTGAGAGCTTGAGTGTAGCTTAGCACGTGGGATGCACCCTGCGAGGATCAGCCAGTTCTGCGGTGAGGAGGTTGTTGATTTTGATGATGGTGATGATGGTGAAGGCCATTATCATGATGTCAATGATCACAATAGCGTGGGTCATCGTGCTGCCTGCTGTATGGGAAGTGTTGTCTTTTCCCTGCGCTTTCCAGGATGTGAAAAGGCCAGGACCGGAGGTGGCCTGGTTCATCTGCTGTTCATGTAAACCCTGGGCATAGGACTGTATCCCCCCCAGACATGTTGGGGAGACACACGTGCTGTTCACAGATGACCGTTTACCAAGGAGGGACAGGAGGTGTTCCTTTGTCCAGCTAAACCTACGTAAGTGATGGCGAATATTCCACCCCCGCCTCAGCCCACAGCAGACATCACTAATCAATCACCACACCCTCCAGCCTTCCTCCCTGGACCCTGCATCTGCAGCTCCTGAGGTGGGGTGAGGTCTGCAAAGGGCCGGAGTGCTGGGCCCGTGAGGACCCTGTGCTGCAGATCTCAGAGCCTTTGCTGTTTACCGGGTGAGCACAGAGCGTGCCTGAGAGCGTGGCCTCCACAGGAAACAGCACCCGGCCCCTCCCCGTGTCACCTTGAAGCTGTGCTTATGAACTCCTCACAGCAAACCCAGCCCATTCTGGGAACACCAAGGGCTGGCAGATGCGTGGTGATCACGTGGCCTCCGTGTGTGCAGCCCCAGGGCAGCCATGTCCGGGGAGCAGCCTGGGGGCCGTGCACTCGGCAGGGCTTGCTGTGGCCACACAGAGGCACCTGCGGCTCTGGGGAAGGCTGTGAGCGCGGCCGAGGCCGTCCTGTGTCTTCTAGGTGAGCCACCTCTTGATGGAATGAGAAGTAGCTTGAAGTGAGTGCATGGGAGTGTGAGCTGGAAGAGCTCTGACCCGCGCCCGCTCTCTCTGCGTTGCTCCCCCCAAATCTCCCGCCAGACGCACACACACCTCCAGTTAACCCCTGCCACGCTGCATTTATCTTTTCCATCAGCCCCTCAAGGGCAGAGTCTGTGACCTGTTTGGCATCGGCCGTAGGGACCCTGCGCCAGACCTGGTGTGGAGGGCATCGGTTGGATGGACGGGCGGGAGGATGAGTCTCTGGTTCCCGGCACAGGTGAGCCTTCACCTGTGGGCGTCCCGTCCCGGAGCCGCCGGCACACCCCGTGGTGATGGCCAGCACTGCTCCACCAGTCCCGGAGGAGCCGGGCGAGGCCTCCCAGAGCCTGGCACTCTCTGGAGTTGTACCAGGGAGGAAGCTGGGGCCTGAGGGCGGAGAGGCCCCCTCTGAATATATCCGGCAGGTCCAGCACAGGTCCATCTGCAGGGCCTGGATTCCGGTCCCAGGCGGCCACAGTCTCCCAGCAGCAGGCCAGGCTCGCGCAGGCCCGTCTGAAAGCAGTGAACAGGCAATGGAGAGAGCCGTAGCTGTGGAGTGATGGGGGCGGGGGCTGTGGACACCCTTTTGCTCATGCTGTGTCCCTCTCTTGCTGCCACGGCTCGTCTGAGACAGGCCCCACGCCTGTGAGAGGCCAGAAGCACATCAGCCCCCTTGTGCCCAGGTGATGAGCCCCGGGCCCAGCCCCACCCTCCGCACAGCCGCTGTAACCAGGCTACTTCCCAGCATCCTGTCTCTCTCTTGCTACCCTGGGGCCTTTGCACATCCTGTTTCCTTGGCCTTTCTTTAGCGCAGCCCATGCATCTGCAGCTCACCGGGCCCCCTGGGCATGGGGCCCTCTGGAAGCCAAGTGCTGCACCAGCCTCCTGGTCTGAATTAGCCAGGCCTGTTTGTGCTCATTCTGCCGAGGGGGCAGGCCGGGGCGAGGCCGGGCCACTGCATCCCCTTTAAATGCTTCAACTCATTTAACCTTAATTGCCTTGTTTTCATAGACATTTGCTGAGGAAAAGGACCAAATTATAGCTTGAATTGGGTCTTACTAATCTTAATTAAAAGCTCTCGTTTGTAATCAGGACCAGGCCTCAAACCGCCCTCAGCTGGCTTGTTTAAATAACCGGGACCCTCCTGGTAATCACTGTTTAGTCTGAGCAGTGGGCGCACAGC